AAGTCTCGTTCTTGTAGCCATACTTATGCTCCCTGGAAAGACAAGATCGAATCGTGCTACACGCCAAACGATTTATTGTTCCCCATTCTTTCTCCTCTATATCTATGGGCCTTTTCTTCCTCAATGGTGATGTCTAGACCTTGTTGGAATAAAGCGTCTAACACCTCACCTTGCCACATGCCAAAATGACCAGATCCATCGAACAACTCCACCGAGAAGTTTGTATCTGCCATCACCCTCCTTACCGGTCCAGATGAAGAGCTTGATGTCTCAACTGATCCATATTTTGGCATTTTAATTCTAACGAACAATATTTAATAGCACGAACTGTATCTTTTTAACAATAAGATCACCATAATAGTCTCAACCGAAGCTCTGATGCCAATTGTTGGGGAAACCGGATTATTTCCCACACGAATGTAGTTTCAAAATTGATCTTGAAATGTCAAGATCAAAACCACCAAAAGTTGTATAGCGGACAAACTTGTCAAACTATTGAATATTGAAACACAATGGAAAAACCGAATAAAGAACAATAAAGGAGAGAACACACCAAATTTACGAGGTTCGACGAGAATATCGTCTTCTTCTCGGGCACCACACTGATGATAACTTCACTATCAACAAATATTACAACAAATGGAATTCTTTAGAATTCCCAAAGTGAGAGATTGAAGAAAACAAATGGAAGAGAAAAATTGTTTTGGGATGATTTCTAATGAAATACTTAGACCTATTTATAGTTGGGTTTTAAGGACTAAACTTATAAATAACCTAATATTTTAGGGACCAAAGATGAAATTCTCATATTCACAATTTGGCCACCTATCAAAGATGAATTTTCAATGTGTACAAGTTGGCCACCAACCAACTTGTCAACTTTGCCAACTTGTCAAATTTGACAATTTACAAGCCAAACATAACATTAACATCCTCGAGTTCAACACTTTGTCTCGTTTTCATCATCTATTTATGCTTCTCTCCTTCAACTACAGTAAATCCCAATAATTTTCTGAAGAGAGGGTCTTATCTGTTTGTCGAAGATGACTCGGACCTGTTGATTTCTTCGGACAACACGTTCACCTGTGGCTTTTATGGTGTTGGTAAAAATGCTTAATACTTCTCGATCTGGTTCACCATCTACAAGGAGAAGACGGTTGCTTGGATGGCTAACCGAGACAAGCCCGTCAATGGAAAGGGTTCTAAAGTTTCTTTTCTTCGAGATGGTGCCTTTGTCCTCACAAATGTCGATGGCTCCATTACCTGGGAGACCAACACCGGAACCACAGACGTTCAAACTACAGGCTTTTAGATAATGGAAACCTCGTTCTTAAGGACTCATCTTCTAAAGTTCTTTGGATACACTTCTTCTTCACCAACACTTCACCAAAAGTAACAAGCTGATTTCCAGGTCTGGAAGAGGGAGTTATGGCACTGAATATTTCAACTTACTTTTCGATACTGATAATGCCTTGAGACTGATACACGATGGACCTGATATATCGAATGTATATTGGCCTAATGTTGATTTTTATGCCTTTGGAAATGGGAGAACCAACTTCAACAGTACTAGAATTGCCATGTTAGATGACAAGGGACGGTTTTCGTCGAGTGATCGGTTGAATTTCGAGGCTTCCGACTAGTGTTTCAGTATCAAAAGGAGGTTGATGATTAATTACGATGGTAATCTTAGGCTTTATAGATTGAATATGGTGTCAGGATTATGGACCATCACATGGGAAGCTGTTATGTAACTTTGCTCAGTGCATGGACTTTGTGGAAGGAATGGGATGTGTTTATACACCAAAACCGAAATGTTCATGCCCTCTTGGGTATGAGATGGCCGATCCAAGTAATTGGAACAAAGGTTGCAGGCCTAAGTTCAGTCGAATCTGTTCTTTATAGTCCCCCCAGCAGGTGAAATTCGTGAAGCTTCGACATGTCGATTTTTATGGGTTCGATTCGTCTTTCAGTCTAACCACATCTTTAGAATCTTGCAAGAACAAATGCTTGGAAGATTGCTAGTGTAATGCATTTAGCTATAGTCTGACAGGGGAAGGAAGATGTTAAAAGTGGAGCTTTTCAATGGCTACACATCCCCAAATTTTCCAGGTAACATATACTTGAAGCTCCCCACACATATACATACATCAGAAGCCATCATTTTCAATGGAACTAATCATACATGCTGGTCAAATGAATCCACAATATTGATAGGATTAAGCTCTTCGTCTATGTCGAAACCGAGGAGAAAGAGCGAGATGGTTCTATCTATACACATTTGCCTCTGTCATCGGTGCAATTGAAATGCTTTTCATTGGATCAGGTTGGTGGTTTCTTTTCAGAAAACATGGAATTTCATCTACCATGAAAGAAAGATATCGTTTATTATCGAATAAATTCAGGAAGTTCAGTTATATGGAGCTCAAGAAGGCGACTAAGAACTTCGTAGAAGAGATGGGAAGCGGCGCTTCCGGGGTCGTATTTAAGGGTGTATTGGAGGATGAAAGAGTGGTAGCAGTCAAGAAACTGGGAGATTCATATCTAACAGAGGAAGTTTTTTGGGAAGAAGTGAACATAATTGGAAAGATCAACCACATGAACCTTGTGAGAATGTTGGGATTTTGTTTGGAACCAAAACACAGACTCCTGGTCTCTGAGTACGTCAAAAATCGATCACTGGACAAACATCTTTTCTCCGGGAATGTTGTTGGATAGAAAGAGAGGTTTAAAATTGCCTTAGGGACAGCTAAAGGATTGGTATATCTTCACCATGAGTGCCTAGAATGGGTTATACACTGTGACGTGAAATCTGAAAATATACTCTTGAATGGTGACTTCGAACCCAAGATTTCGGATTTCGACCAGACTAGCGAAGCTGTCTCAACGGGATCATAACAACAATGAAATGTCTCGAATTCAAGAACGAAAGGCTATATGGCTCCTGAGTGGCATTAAACCTTCCGGTCACCGCAAAGGTCGATGTCTATAACTATGGGGTGGTGATTCTCGGTGCTGGTGAAAGGCATTAGGCTCTCTCATTGGGTGGTGCAGGATGGAAACTAGGTTCATCAAAGTAGTGTGAGGAAAAATGCAAGGTGAAGAGATTGGCTGGGTGAATGATGCAGTTGACACAAAATTGACCGGAGAATTTAACTTTATCCAAGCGATGACAATGATTGAAATTGGAATGTGTTGTGTGGATTAAAATAGAAATAAGAGACCGACAATGGATTCTATATTCCGAGCTCTACTATAATATGAAGATGCATGGACATAGGAACCACCATCAAGTCTGAAAATAGTCGCACTAGACGTGCTCTATCTACAAATTAATAAGGAAATGCTTCTTCTTCTTCTTCTCTTTTTTTTTTTTTTGCAGTATAAAAGAGTTTACAATTTATCATTATAATTGTGGAGAACTGTAAGTGTATAGTTTATTAATTCAAATAAACAAGGATAATACATTTTTGGGTGCCTAAACTATACCTTAAATTGACTTTAAGTGTCTAAATATTTTTTTCGTTAAAAATAGATGACTAATGTTTTCAACGTTACATTTTTAGATGTATGGACCATAACAACTGTTAAATTGGTCGTTATCTGACATATGTCATGCATATAAAATTTTAAAAAATTTATTTAAAAAATATACATTTTTAGGTGCCTAAACTATACCTCAAATTTACTTTTGGTGCGTAAAGAATTTTTTGATAAAATAAGTGTCTAACGTTTTCTGCGTTACACTTTTAGGTCATGTCGTTATATATTTTTTAAATCAAACCCTCCTCCAACGACATCCCTCTCCTTACCATCCCCTCACCTCTAACGACGACGAAGGGTCACTACCGGCTGAGTTTTGTTCGGAGCAAGGCGAAGAACTCAATGGTGGCGGGCATGTAACGTACGACTAGTTATAGTCGTCAAAATCATCGAAAAACAACGAAGGAAAACTTAGAAAATTGAAAACCCATTGCGACGCTTTTCACGACAATCAACATAGTTTCACGGTGGGTAGAGGACTGAGTTTTGGTCGCGACGTCGAGACGACTGATGGTGTCAACAGTGATGGCCTCGGACCAACGGTGACTGATCGGTGGTGAAATTTTGAGGGTTTTTTTGGTTTTTTTAATTATAATATTAAATATTTTCTAAATAAATTTTTTGAAATTTTATATGTGTGACACGTGTCAGGTAACAAGACACGTGTTAGGTAACAACCAAATTTAATAATCGTTACTGTCCAGACACCTAAAATTATAGCGTTAGAAACGTTAAACACCTATCTTTAACGAAAACTTCTTTAGGCATAAAAGTCAATTTGAGATATAGTTTAGGCACTTAAAAGTGTATTAAGCCTTAAAAAATAAAAAAATATAACAGTAGACACTTAAAAGTGTATAGGGAAAAACGGTAGACACTTATTTTCAACGAAAAACTATTTATGCACTAAAAATAAAATTGAAGTATAATTTAATTACCTACAAGTGAATTAATCCAATAAATGAATACAAAATGTATGGTTTTTTAAGGACCCGTAATTTTTAGCTAATCTACTTAGTCAAATATTTCTTTGTCAAATGCGATTATATTATGATATCGAGTTCTCTTATAAAAAAAATATTAGATGACCATGACCTTCCTTAGAAGTTTTAGACAACTCATTTAGGTTGAACCCCCTATTCGCAATCGAGCCTCAGATATTATCTTGCCCACATTGTAAGCTTATGCAGACTGCCAAAATACTTGAGATCAGATGTATTAAATTGTTTAAATTTAGTTTAATTTTTGAGCTATTTGATGTGAACTATCGTTGCAGATTTATATAATTCAATGGCTCAGATATTTGTTTCTCTAAGTGTTTTTTTTAAATAGTTTAGGGTGATTACAAAATAGTATATGTTTAAAATTTTCTTAATCTATTAATAACGCGTATAAACTCTGCAGACACATCAGCTCGAACTAAGACCTCCAAGAACAATGACGGATCCAAAAATTAGTTTTGAGAGTAAACACATATATATTAATAATAGAAAATTTTTATATGAGAAGTGTACAAATACAATTTTAGGATGAACACCACAATTAATATAAAGAAATTCGGATTTTAAAGGAGCACATTTTCATCTTAGACAAGCCTTGCATCCGTCAGTGTATTCGGATTTCAGAGGAGCACGTGTTCATCTTTTAGACAAGCCTTGCATCCGTCAGTGCATGGAGAATAAACTTGATTGGTTAAAAAACTTGCTCAACTAGTGCTACTATTTTCAGACCTGATCGTGGATCCTATGCTTATGAATCTTCACATTGTAGTAGTGCTTGGACTATAGAATCCATTGTTGGCCTCTTATTTCTATTTTCATCGACACAACATATTCCGATTTCAATCATTTTCTCCGCTTGGATTAAGTTGAATTCTCCATTCAATCTTGTATCCACTGTATCATTCACCCAGGCAACCTCTCCACCTTGCATTTTTCCTCTCACCACTTTGATGAATCTAGTTAACTCAGTTTCCTGCTCGTCGCCATCCTGCACCACCCAATGGGAGAGCCGTATGCCCTTCACCAACTCCAGAATCACCACCCCATAGCTATATACATCAACCTTTGCAGTGACCGGAAGGTTTAGTGCCCACTCGGGAGCAATATAGCCTTTCGTTCCTCGAATTCGAGACATTTCATTGTTGTTACAGTCGCGTTGAGACAGCTTCGCTAGTCCAAAATCCGAAATCTTGGGTTCGAAGTCACCATCCAAGAGTATATTTTCAGGTTTCACGTCACAGTGTATAACCCATTCTAGGCACTCATGGTGAAGATAGGCCAATCCTTTAGCTGTCCCTAAGGCAATTTTAAACCTCTCTTTCCATCCAATAACATTCCCTGAGAAAAGATGTTTGTCCAATGATCGATTTTGCACGTACTCATAGACCAGGAGTCTATGCTTGTGTTCCAAACAAAATCCCAACATTCTCACAAGGTTCATGTGGTTGATCTTTCCAATTATGTTCGCTTCTGCCCAGAAAACTTCCTCTGTTAGATATGAATCTCCCAGTTTCTTGACTGCTACCACTCTATCATCCACCAATACACCCTTAAATACGATCCCGGAAGCGCCACTTCCCATCTCTTCTTCGAAGTTCTTAGTTGCCTTCTTGAGCTCCATATAACTGAACTTCCTGAATTGATGTGATAATAAACGATATCCTTCTTCCATCGTAGATGGAATTCCATGTCTGAAAAGAAACCACCAACATAATCCAATGAAAAGCATTTCAATTGCACCAACGACAGCGGCAAAGGAGTATAGATAGACCCATCTCGCACTTTTTCCTCGGGTTTCCGACATAGACGAAGAGCTTAATCCTATCAACATTGTGGATTCATTTGACTTGCATGTATGATTACTGCCATTGAGAATGATGGCTTCTGATGTTTGTATATGCATGGGGAGCTTTAAGTATAGGTCCCCTGGGAAATTTGGGGATGTGTAGCCATTGAAAAGCTCTACTTTAGTGAAGCATCTTCCTTCCCCTGTTAGCCTATAGCTAAATGCTTTACACCGGCAATCTTCCAAGCATTTCTTCTTGCAAGATTCTAAAGATATGCCTATACTGAAAGAGGAATCGAACCCATAAAAGTCGACATGTGGTAGCTTCACGAATTTCACCTGCTGAGGGTACTGTAAAGAACAGATTCGACTGAACATAGGCCTGCAACCTTTGTTCCAATTACTTGGATCGGCCATCTCATACCCAGGAGGGCATGAACATTTCGGTTTTGGTGTATAAACACATATCCCATTCCTTCCACAAAGTCCATGCACTGAGCAAAGTTGCATAACAGCTTCCCATGTGATGGTCCATAACCCTGACACCATATTCAAACTATAGAGCCTGAGATTACCATCGTAATCCATTGTCAACCTCCTTTTGATACCGAAACTCGAGTCAGAAGCGCGGAAACTCAACCGATCACTCGACGAAAACCATCCTGTTCCATTTAACATGGCAATTCTAGTACTGTTGAAGTTGGTTCTCCCATTCCCAAAAGCATCAAAATCAACATTAGGCCAATACACATTTGATATATCAGGTCCATCATATATCAATCTCAAGACATTATCAGTATCGAAAAAGAAACTGAAATATCCAGTGCCATAATTCCCTCCTCCTAACCTGGAAGTCAACTTGTTACTTTTGGTGAAGTGTTGGTGAGGAAGAAGTGTATCTGAGGGGAAATCAAAGCTTTGCCAAAGAACTTTTAAAGATGAGTCCTTAAGAACGAGGTTTCCATTATCTAAAAGCTCTGCAGTTTGAGCGTCTGTGGTTCTGGTGTTGGTCTCCCAAGTAATGGAGCCATCGACATTTGTGAGGACGAAGGCACCATCTCGAAGAAACGAAACTTTAGAGCCCTTTCCATTGACGGGTTTGTCTCTGTTAGCCATCCAAGCAACCGTCTTCTCCTTGGAGCTGGTGAACCAGATCGAGAAGTAGTAAGCATTTTTACCAACACCATAAAAGCCACAGGTGAACGTGTTGTCTGAAGAAATCAGCAGGTCGGAATCATCTTCGACAGACAGATAAGATCCTCTCTTCAGGAAATTATTGGGATTTCCTGAACTTGAAGGAGAGAAACATAAATAGATGAGGAAAACGAGACAAAGAGTTGTACTCGAGGATGTTAAAGCCCGAGATATCATGTCTGTCGGATTTAGTTTTAGAACAACGAAGGTTGTATTACAAGAAATTATAGAATTGTTCATATTACCTTGCCCAGAAACGAAATTGAAAATTCAGACAATTGGGACCCTACTCTAGCGCACGTACGGAAAGGTTGATTGGCTGTCTATAATCTCCATCCGGAATGTCTTCGCTGATGAGACGACGTTTAGAATAATCGTCCTTTAGAAGAAGACATTATAAGAAAATTCTTTAAGTCCAATAATCAACTAGATAAAAAAATTTTGTCTGAAACGACATGGAAAATCTTATGAAGGTTTCTTGGCTCCTTTAATCTGCTTCTGGAATGCTTTGTCTTTTTCATGGAATGGCTGTCAACACCATTATTCTACACGACATTCAATAAATATGGTCCCTTAGAAAAGGACCAAACGCTAGCACGCTTTCACATGACACTAAAATTTTGAAAGTGAAATGTAAAAGAATTTTTTTTATACACAATGGCATAAAAAAGTTATTGGATGGCTTGCATCTCTAAATAGTTATTTTAGTCTCTATTATTTATTAAAATATTTTATTTATAATATTTTATTTTAAAGAAAAAAATCTTTAACTAAATAATTACTTTAATCTTTATTCAAAAAATAATCATGAATACTCAAAATTTCAGATACACGCATTTTCTATTCTCTATTGCGGTTTTCTTGTTTAGCTCTCATCTCTTCCCTTATGGGGGAGTTTCAGGGCTATTTGTCACAACCTTATTTCGAAATAAAAAATTATAAATTTATTTAATTACTATAGGGATTAAATTATAAGTTTCCAGAACTTGTAGTCTAGTTTAGAATTTGTAGAAATTTTAGGAACTTAATCCTAATTTTTTCTTTTTTCTATAGGCAGAGAAAAAATAATAATAATGGAGTTTGTGGCCTAGGGGGTTTGAAACCTTGTTCCTCAGTCGCCCATGCCCTAGTCGTTTAAACTAAGGTACTATTATGTTATTTTTAATTAAAAATTGTTTTTAAAAGTTAAAAATCAATCATAACACCCAAAATCCCCAAATTTTCCAAACCCTAAATCCCTAAACTTTCAAGATTTCCTGACGGATGATAGCAAATTTCAAGATTTCTTATTGAGTTAAAAGATTTTCATTAAGTTATTAATTCGAAGCAAATTATTTAATCTTTAATAAATGGATCATATTATAACAATATATTCGATTTATGATTTCTACCAGTTACGACAATGTATAAGCGATACAATGCCAATTTTGGGCGATGTGGGGGCTCTAACCCTTCCCCACGCGTAACCGACTCCTAAATCCATTTAAATGAATATTTGGTATCGCAGAACGAATTTTGTCTTAAAAACGATTTTTCTTAAAATTGTTTTTAAAAGACTTTCTTAGGTATTCGACCTACCTAACCCAAAGGTCGATGGCGACTCCCTTTCAATTTATTTCAGATTAATTAAAAATCACTAATTTTTCCAAACTAAAGTCATAATTGTTTTTTAAAATAATAATTAATTGTTTTTCAAAAATATGGTTATAACAGCTTGACGACTCTACTAGGGACTTTTTTTTAGAGAGTCAGGTTGTAAGTCGCTTACACATCATCGTTGTAGTGGAAATTATGAGTTCGAGTCTATAGTTAGCTTATGACCATTTATTGAAAATTTTCTAATTTCTTCATATCTTTAAATTTTTTGTACTACGTTTCGATTTCTATTTTCACTTTGTCGAGGATTTATCAAGTTTTTTCTTGTTTCGTTTTCCTTTGAGTCAAAGGTTTGAATGTTCATCCTCACACACATCACGTGCATTTGCATAACATAAGCTCTAGACACGAGCTTTGTTCCAAGTAAGTCAGGGTGAATTCTTTACTCTCGTAAGAATTTATTCTTCGTATGAGTTTTAGCAAATAACCCTTGGGATACATACTTTATACCTTCGTAGGGATTTATTCCTCGTATGTGTATAAGGTAGTGAATCCCCTCGAATTGAACTCGTTCCATTCGAAACTTGTAATGGGTGAGGATCGAGGGTTTGGTGGTCCAAGGGGGAACCGACATCAAGGACAATTCGAGTACCCTTTTCCTGTTAGAGCTGAAACCATGCATATAGTGAACCGTAGAACGGTCACCCTAGGTATAGCTATACGAGCCTCTGTCAGTCATTAGGTGCCAAATTAGGTGTACACAAAGGAGGAACATTTCTAAACCCTTACCTTTCACTTTAAGTTTATAAAATATATTTATTTATTTTTGAATAAAAGAATATGAACTAGATACCATGCGGTTAGGATTATTTTCTTGATTTAATCATTGTGGGTAGAAAACATATCTAGGTAGGATTGCTATTTAATAAAAGCATGCTCGGGTAGATATCATCTCGGGGTAGGTGCTATATGCATCTCTGAATAACATTTTAATTTGTATTAATTATCTTACATGTACTAACTTATTTCTTTTTATTTTGTTTGTCATTTTTCATCCTTTTTTGCATTGCATTGTATCGTCATGTCATAATGCAAAAGTATTGATCCGTAAGGGATATTCGAGAGAAAATTTTTACAAGAAGAGATAAAAGTTTTTAATCAAGCAGTCGTGTACACAAATATGCACCGAAGGCTAAAAAAAGTTCAGAGAGTAGAAGAATAAGTCTTGCTCGAAGACCGTGCAGCATTCGAGACTAAAATGATGATTCATTGATCTAAGGAGTAATCCAGCAGTAGAGTCTTACCTACAATCATTTTATCGCTAGTCATCAAGGAGCGAAGCACTGACTTCAGTACCACCGGGGCATCAATGGAGTTAGGTTACAGAACGCTTGAGGGCTATCATTTTCGAGGACAAAGATCCGAGATGAAGCAGTAATTCACTTCAAACTCAACATCTAAGTGAAGGCATGTCTGTAAAGTGGATTGTCTTGTAATGTAAATGCTTTTATCTCTAGTGAAAATTATTCTACGATATTCATCGTTGAGATCAATCTTTTTGCATATGCATTTGCATATTTGCATTTTACATCTGTATTTCATTTTTAAGCATTTTCACATGCATCATTCATAAAAATATGGAATTAATTCATGGAGGATTCAATGAAGTGGGCCTAATCACGTGACACCATATGGAGAATAGAAGCAAGATTCGAATAATTAAAAGAAGAAGCTGAAATCTGTATGGTGGCAACTTGTTCAGCTGGTTGTAGGGTTGAGTCTTCCAGGATGATCCAAGAAAAGATTCCTCATATCCTGAGGTCCATGATATTGATATCGTATGCAGCTATCATATAGGAAGCTCAAGATATTCCGCTGAGAACTGTAAGGCACTGAAGCGCAAGATCCAGAACCTGATGAATTCATGGGCATGGACAATCGAAGAATGATGGGGGGCATTGCATCTACCACTTGAATTGAGAGCATTATTTGGTTTGAACTCATTTTTGTTCTGTCTTTTTGATAACTCCGTAAAAAGAATTAATTCCTAGTATTTTCACTTAAGTTATTGCTCGTCTAGACAAAGTATGCACTGTATTTTTAGTTACATTTAGTTGCATATATGTTATATTAGATTGTGGTGGTTAAGTTTTGCTTAGGCAAGATTTATTTGGATTGACTGATGCTGCTGAAGAGAAAGGGTTGTTTGGGTTGTGTTTGTGTAGGAATCCTACAGAGGAAGAACATTTCAGTCGTAACAATGTAAAAGTGAAGAGGCCAATGGAACAGATGAGAATGTGAGGATCAGATTTATCTCGCAAAGGCAAGATTTATCTGAGGAAGTCTGAAGCAGGTGTAGCTAAACCGCCTATGTCACACCCCAGCTGGATGACCTACTTCACGTACAAACAAGCCTAAATTATTCTGCCAACCGCCAGCCGCCTTTCCTTTTTATGTACGGGCAATTAATAACGACTAGTTAAGGAAACTACAAAAGTAGACAAAGACCTAGGAGACCTTTCCTTATAAATAACCAGTCGCAGCCGCCAAACAAGGGGGCAAGGAAGAAAAGAGAAGAGCTTTACCTAAGGTGTAAGCAAGCAACTGCAGTGCTTTCCCACCGTCCATTCACCAACCTTCCTTGGTGTCCTCCATAGCCAGACGATAGCAGAGCGGTGATCAGGCCTCGAGAGAGGGTGATCACCAAGGCAGGCGCGGTGCTGATCAGGATTGTCGCGATAGAGCCCCCGGTTTTGGGAGGTTCTTCCTTTATTTTTAACTCTTTTCTTATTTGGGGTTTTATTAAACGTTGAATCTTTGATGATATTTGATAGCACTATGAATACTTTACTTGGTCTTAAACTTTGTTTTGCCTGAACAATATTTTTATGTTTATAAATGATGAATTATGTTTCGCTTATGAATGTTTTGTTCATAGTTTAAATATTTTACCTTAGCACTGTAAGAGCATCGAGAGATAGCCTTGGGTTTTGGTAAAACACGTCTTGGCACTGTAAGAGCATCGAGAGATAGCCTTTTGTCTAGATAAGTGATACTTAAATTCGAGAGAATTAAGATAGATCAACGTGAGCAATGGAATGAATCTGGGATGGTGAAGTTCTAAGTTGTCTACCTTAGAGATAATGAGTGAGCTTCAAACGACTAAAAGGGATAGATGCTAGAGTTGGAGAGACTACGTCTATAGTTAATTCCGAGAGGTATTGTTGTAGCAACCGTCTAAGAATACCTAGTAATCATGTCGGACAGTTTTAGTAAGTTATAATAAGTCGTTCTAAACTGAGAATATTTGCTGTCAAGACAATGGTTTAGCATAAGTGCTCTGTGACACATCTGAATATGTGAGGTTGCTTGCATTATAATTAAACCATCACTTGTTTTATTAGTCTGCATATTAATTTTTCCTCAACCAAACTTTTCGGAAATCATTGAATCATTTTCTTAGTTCATTAATATTAGTTCTTAGGATAATAATTGGTAGGACTTAGCTTGTGACATTAGTTCTAGTTGTGGTGAAAATATATTTCTAGTCCAATCCCTGTGGAGACAATACTCACTCACTA